ATAAATGTTTTTCCTATATGTCCACTTAGGTGTTGATCCGTTAATACCAATTTGCTGGGGAGTACATGTGGTGCTTGTTTTTCCATTCTTGAGATACTTCACTTAGTAGAATGGGCTCCAGCTCTATCCAGGAAAATACAAGAGGTGCTATATCACCATTGTTTCTTAAAGCTAAATAGTACTCCATGGTATACATATACCACATTTTATTAATCCACTCATGTATTGATGGGCACTTGGGTTGTTTCTACAACTTTGCAATTGTGAATTGTGCCACTATAAACATTTGAGTGCAGGTGTCTTTTTTGTAGAGTGTCATTGGATCTTTTGGGTAGATTCCCAGTAGTGCGATTGCTGAATTAAATGGTAGATCTACTTGTATTGCTTTAAGGTATCTCCATATTGCTTTCCACAGAGGTTGAACTAGTTTGCAGTCCCACCAACAGTGTAGGAGTGTTCCTATCTCTCTGCATAATGCAATACCTTAAAATCAAAAGGAAACAGATTCTTTTTCTCTTGAAACATTTTATTTTGAAACATTTTTAATATCTTAGGTTAAATTGACTATTTGAGTTCCAAAATAGGACATTTTGTTCTTCATTTTGTAATATCATGGTTTAATGAAAATGACATTGAATTTTGGCATGCTCAAACCTGTGGAATTAATGAAGAAAAGTGCTATTAGGTCTTAACTTTTGTTTATTGAAAGCATATGCTTAATCCTGAACCTAATTTTAATCTGACACATTCTTAGCCCTGATTCTAATTTCTAACCAATGTGTTTATAGATAACACACATATTAAAATTAATTACATACACTATTTCAAGCCTTCTTGAATTATCTTTCTCCTATATAATTGCTTATTTTCTCCACATGATAAACATATGCTGCAGACAAAAGTTATTTTTATCGTACTTGAGAGAGTCTCAGAGAAGCTTAGTGTCTTGATCAAAGATGCACAGCCAGTTGGCATGAAAGCCTGAAACAGTGTACTTGATTCTTCTACTTCTTAATCTAGTCATGAGCATTTTATAAGATTGTAATGTAAAAATAAAATTGCTGTCCATTTTGGACTGGAGTTATAATTATTAACAACGCATGGTCATTTATAGGTTGTTTAAAGGGATTGGTAAACATCTCCACTCGTTTTAAGCCTAGAAAGTTAGCACACTTGACAAATAAATGAATAATCTTTTAATGTACAAAAAGGACCAGTGTTTCCTCTCAACACCTCCTTTGTTCTTGCATCCTCTCACATAAAAACGAAACAGATGCTGCTTGGTTACATTCAAAGTAACATTTATTTATGTATATTTTTGGAGAAAGTAATTAAAACTGCATTATGGAGCTGCAGGGGGTGGGAATTGTGAAGTGTACCAGACAACGATGGGTGTTCTTGAATGTCTTGCAGCGATCCCCAACCTTTTTTGGCATCAGGGACCGGTTTCATGGAGGATAATTTTTCCACTGGGGGGAGGCGGTGGTACAGGTTGGGGACCGCTGTCTTAAAGCACGGAGTGGGGAATGAGTTTGAGGTATAGTGGCTTCTAATCTGAAGTATGATCAACATTAGTACCTAGTTGAATATTATAGATAAAGTAACCTGAATTAAACATTTATCACTGAATACTCTTTTAAATTTTGGATTTATTCGTGCTCTGAAATCTAATCTTCTGCTTAATTGTTTAAGGGGTAAATAAACAAGACTGAAGACAATGAACAACACTCATTAGCTTCAGGCTACCTGTTTCATTCTGATAGTTCATCATTCAGTTAAAAGTGCCATTCCTCAATAGATGCAGTTGGAATTTTTCACTTTGATACATGAGGGAACTAAAACACAAATAGAAAAAATAAATACTTGTTTAACTTTGAGTTTGAAAATAAGGCTTGCTAGTGTTGTCAGTATCTTCTAAGAGTTGAACATTTTGAAAAGTTGGCATGGGGAAATGACATTAACCAACCACATGTCAGACCTTTTTACTTGTTACTGTCTTTGAGCTCCACAAAAACTCAAAACCAAACCTTTGCTAATATTTTCCATTTTTTTCCTCCCTCCTCCCCTATGTGGAACTAAAGCTTATTAAGTAACTTACTTGAAGTAATGCAGCAGCAAATAAAAATTTAAATTTAAACCCAGTTTAGTTCGATTCCATGTTTTGTGTTCTTTCCACATCAATATGGCATACAAGTAGTACTCCCTTTAAAGGAACTATCACCTTGATATACTTTCAATAGTTCGGTGTTTTCCTCCCAAATGAGGCTGAAAGTTTGGACCTGGAACTGAGAGATTTCTGAGGAATATTTTCATTGAATCTTTTGCCACCAAAAAATAAATTAAAAAATTCCTTAGCATGATCATAACTAGACATCTGATTGGTGTAGTCTCTGTGCATAACTGGTTGTCTACAAAATTTCAGGGCTGGACAATTCAGCACAGTCCCACCCAAGTAGCTCTAATCACAAATTATTATTACTCACATAACTGTCAACCCTTCTAGTAAACTAGCATAATTCCTGATGTATAAGAAACACTTTACATCTTTACATTTTGTTGAATTAATGAGGGAATGCATGATCTTATCTTCTTGATTATAGAATCTCATTAATTGAAAACGTACCGCCTGCCTATATATCACCTGATTTTAAGGGAGGGAGCAATGGAAAACAACTACTAAAAATCTGCTAACATATGAATTTTAAACTAAGGTTCTGATTTTTTAACTGTTAACATGTATTTTTTTATTTTTTAAATTGAGGAAATACAGTACCTCAATAACTTGGATCCTTCCCAGATTACATCTTTTGTGTTTATTTCTTGTCTAGGATGCCTATCACTGCGTCCATTCAGTAGCTTTTCTGTAGATGATTTAAAATGAGGTTTAATGGGTTAGGACCTTTGAGAACTTAGTTAGGAGCATATGATATTTATTAAGATATACTTAGGTGTATGACATTACATGAGATAAAAAGATGAGAAACCTCAGGATGTTCACAAGTAAAGTGTTCTGCAGGGAAAATTTGTAGGAAGAGCAGCATGCTTTAAAATAATGGATAGCTGGGCACAACAGCTCACACGTGTAATCCCAACACTTTGGAAATCCGAGGTGGGAGGACTGCTTGAAGCCAGGAGTTCAATACCAGCCTGGGCAGTATAGTGAGACCCCATCTCTGCAAAAAAAAAAAAAAAAAAAAAAAGAAAAGAAAAGAAAAATTGGCTAGCTGTGGTAGCACACACTTGTAGTTATAGCTAATTGGGAGGCTGAGGCAGGAGGATCGCTTGAGCCCAGGAGTTCAAGGTTATAGTGAGCTATAATCATGCCACTTCACTCCAGCCTGGGTGACAAAGTGAGATCTTGTCTTTAAAAAAAAAGGTGGATAAAGTAAAAAGGACAATTGTATGCTCTGAGCTTTGACTTGAATATGAATGATTGATTATATTGTGCTTTTTTGCCTTGTTCTGAGGATGAAATCTTACACTAAATTGACCATTAGCGTTTCCTTTAGTTTTTCAATGAATCTCACCAAAGAAAAATAGAGAATTACTGGATTATTTGCTAGTGTATGAATTCCAAAGTCAAAAACCACTGTAAGAGTTTGTTTAAGAGCTAGACTCTGCAAATCTAAAGGGAGTAATTCCATATACAAATTTACTGTCTTTACCTGGGTTTTATGCCTTTTGCTACATAGTACAAAAGTGAAAATTAGTAGTTAATCCCTTTCAATTAATATTTGAAGTAAAGTCAAAGTTAGTTGGACTATGTTGTTACTACTTTAAAGAAGTTTGTGATATGTTTGCTTTATATGCTCCAAGGAGTAAGGAGATTTGTCTGAGAATCTTAAACCCCTAGATTTGTATTGAGAACTAAGTTTTTTGGGGAATTGAGATAGTGGATTATTATTAGGGTGGAAGTATCATATTCTACTTGGTATAATATTTGTTGGTGAATCTGGGCTCTGTTCCCAGCTCCAAATAGAAATGCTAAATTACTTAGGTTAGATTTCTCATCCATCCTATGCTTTCATTTCCCACTTGTCTTTAACTTAATTCTTTCTTGGAATTTAGCCAGAGTCAACTAGAAAATATCTCATGTACTTTAAGCTTTAAGAGAAGAGACACTGTAAAATGCCTCAGTTATCAAAATAAATATATCCAATTTGTATTTACCCACTTGGTGATTTTTTTTTTTCCTAGAAATCTTTAACACCACTTATTACTTTCTGCAAATCTGATCAGGGAAAATTCACCTTGTTTCTAGCTAATACGTCTGTAGAACATGAAGAATGATTTTGATTAACCTATGCCTAAGCCAAGATTTAAGGCACACCTACTCCAAAATGCTGTGTAACATTTCCTAGGCAAACAAACGCATAAAGAACATATTCCTGATTTTCGATCATCTATTCTGCTTCTTCCTTGTATAACATGGGTAGTTTGTATTTTAAGGATGGATTTTTAAGGTTTAATCCATGCTCATTTCAATACTAGTATCAGTGAATTATCCTTTGATTATAACACTTTGAGGAATTATAACAGGAAATGCAGATGGGTGCATCCGCTAAGTCAATCAGTTTCATGATTAGAGAAAACCTTTGTCAAATGTTTTAAATAAATTGGCAGGTATGAGCATTTTTTGGTATAAAAGAAGGATATAGCAGTAACAGGAGTAATTTGCTTATTTTTCTAATATTAAGGAGATTTTTCAAATTCATTCAGTTGGGCTGTGAAAGACAGACCCGTGCTTTCTCTCTGACCTCTTCCGGGCCATATTCATGGGATTTGGTATTTGTGGAGGAAATGAAAGCTTTAGCACTTGACACCTGGCCCATTGGACTTCCTGGTGCAGTCTTTGTAGTAGAGCAAGTGGAAACTTTGAAGTTGAATCTCCTACCCTCTCTGACTGTTGGGTCATGAACGCTATTGCCTGAGGTGGCCAAACATCTTTTCACAACTGGCTTGTGGCAATTTATAGTCTTTCTTTTGTCTTTTTTTCACAGCTGTTGTGAACTTGGACAATTCAGTCGTTGACCTGGAGACCCTTCAAGCTCTCTATGAGAACGTGAGTAATAGAAGGAATTTTGTGTGTGAGTGTATGATATATACACAGTACATGTCTGTGTACGTGTGTAGGCGTGTTGCTTTAACATCCTCTAAGGAGATTTGATCGGGGTTCAGTGAATTTATGTAAGTAGGGATTTGTTACCATACTTTTTAGGAACATATCCAACAAATGTGTGCTCTCATGGCTTTAAAGATTTTGAATCAAATCATGTTACATGCGAGGTCACTCATGTTTTCTTTTTTGAAATAATAGTTAATACTTTTGCGGGGCATAATTTGAGCCAAGCATTGCTCTGTGCACTTCATGTGTACTGCATATGCACACATGCACGCTTTTTAAATTTTAAAACATTAAATTGACAAAGATTGAATATATTAAAGGTATACAACCTTATGTTCTGATTTGAAATACACGTACATTGTATAATGATTATCATCACAATCAAATTAACACATCCGTCACTGCCTGTACTGCACATTGGATCCTCAGAAGTTATTTATCTCATAACTGAGAGTTTTTGCCTTTTGACCAATATCTCTTTATTTCCCCCGTCTTTCCCCCACCCCCAGGCAACAACTACTTTCTGCTTCTATGAGTTCAAGATTTTTTGATTCTGTGTTTGTCTTTCGGTGTCTGGCTTATTCCACTTAGCGTAATGTTCTCCAGGTTCACCCATTATGTTGCCAATGGCAGGATTTCCTCCTTTTTTGTGGCTGAATAATATTTCATTGTGTATATATACCATATTTTTTTATCCATTCGTTTGTTGATGGACACTTAGGTTGATTCCATACCTTGGCTATTGTGAATAACGCTGCAGCGAACATGGCAATGCAGACATCTCTTCAACGTACTTATTTCATTTCCTTTAGATACATACCCAGAAGTGGACTTGCTGGGTCACATGGTAGTTTCATTTTTAATTTTTTGAGAAACATCCACACTGTCTTCTATAATGGCTGTACCAGTTTCCTTTCCCACAGATAGCATGCAATGGTTCCCTTTCTCCACATTGCCACCGACACTTATCTTTTGCCTTTTTCATGGTAGCCATCCAAGTGTGTGAAGTTCTATCTCATTGCGGTTTTGATTTGCATTTCTCTCATGAACCATGAGCAGGTGCTATTGTTGTCCCTATCTTACATATGAGGAAACTTAGACAACAGAGAGGTTGAATGACTTTCTCCAGGGTATGGAGCTAGTTGTTGTGGTGTAGCTGGGGTTTAATTCATCCTGTTTGCATTCCTCTACACTACCACAGTTTACTTCACTAAGTGAATGGACATTCAGCTTTTTTGTTTTCTATGTAGCACTTTTTCTTATGAAGGTGGCAGGAAAAGGAGCAAGGTCTCAGAAGAGAATAACCACAGCATGGCACAGTCAGCACCTTTGGGAAGTGTGATGTGAAATGGGGTTAGCTGGAGCATGGCATTAAATAACATCAATGCATAGAGTAAGAAAGCAATTCCCTTTTCAGTGTTTTTGATTATATGTAAGAGAAAATCTCAGTGTAGTCCTATTTCATCTCTAATGTCTTTGAACTTTTTTTTTTTTAACTTTATTTCTGCTCTTGCCTGTGACCTGCCTGGTATTTAAGCCTCTGTGCTCTTTGGGGTGTGGACTTAGGTGGTGCTTGACTTTTCTGCCTCAAGTCAAAGAATTCTTGGCTCTGGAAGACACATGTGGTGACAGGAGTCAGGCTCTCTTGCCTGACCACTCCCTTAAGGACTGTTTGTTCAGCCTGCTTGTCCACTCTTGAATTTGGTCCTTTCTAAACATATGTATATGTGGTCTGCCCTGTGAGATTGAGACCTTTGTAAGCGAAAATATTTCTCTTGGTGCCTTGTGTGGCATCTATCGATCAAGCACAGTGTTGGTCCCCAGCAAGCACAGGGAGCATAAGTGTTCAGTGAAACTGAATCATGAACAAAGACTGAAAGGGAAGGTTTGGGTGATTTATTATGTAGCTGTCACTATATGATGGGAAAGCTAGAAAAAATAAATCATGTATTTAGTATGTTAGTGTCTCCATGAAATCGGTGTTTAGAACATCACAATTGGGGGTGGTACCAAGAGAGCTTGCATTTCTCTTGAGTCTTTCATACTAACCCTCTCCCAGCCAGGAGGGTCATATGGAAGAAATGAGGAAATACCAGGGGAAAGTAATTTTTTCAGCAGATCACAATGATTTAAAATGTTGGTGTGTATATGTCTATCTTTCACATACTTTACATAAACAATATACATGATGTTTGTGTATGCATATCTTGTGTGTGTGTGTGTGTGTGTGTGTGTGTATGAATGAATGAATGTATGTCTCATTTAAGCCTGGTGTAGCATTGTGTAGAAATATATCCAGAAAAAAATATAGAACATTGAATACAGCTATATTTATGAAGAAAATTTATTTTATAGTTATTTAGAATATTTTGGGGGGGGGGCATTTTTTAGCCTTTCAAAGTAAACTAATTTCACAAACTAAGTATTTTTGATTCAGGAAAAACTAGATAGCTACCTAGAATTAGTGTCTACTTATTATCATCGTACTCCAGGAAAGCGAAACAGGGACTATGTCTCAGTCTGGGGTGCGATGACAGAATGCCACAGACTAGAGGGGTTATAAACAACAGGAATTTATTTCTCATAGTTTGGAGGCTGGGAGACCCCTGGTAAAGGATCTGGTAGGTTTGGGGTCTGGTGAGGATCATCTTTCAGATTCACAGAGGGTTGTCTTCTTATTGTAACCTCCCATGGTGGAAGTGGCAAGTGCATTCTCTAGAGAAGGGCACTAAACCTATTCTTAAGGGCTCTGCTATCATGACCTAATTATGTCTCAGAGGCCCCACCTTAATACTGTTGCCTTGGGTGGGGGGTATTCACAATAATATTAGTTCAGGTAGTGGTAGGCTAGGTTTTTTTGATAGCCATCTGCAGTATTAGAACTTGAAGAATCCATTATGAACAATAGGTAATTATATATACTTTATATACAAATATTCACATGTTAATTCCCAATATCCCTTAAAATACAAATCCTGGAAAGCAGAAATATTTGTTTTATCCACAGCAATATTTCCGGCACCTACAGTTTGGTAGCATTTTTCCAATAGGAATTATTCAAAGAGTATTTGTCGAGTGAATGTTTATGTTAATTAATAAGTGGAATCTACTGATAGCCTTTGTTTCGGAACTTTTCTTTGGCTTCTGTTACATGCTTTATAAATATTTTTTTCCTTAGACTAATTGATATCTATTGTGAGGTTCCATATTGAATATCTAGGTTTGCTATTTTCTCTTCTTATAATAACTTAAGAGGATATCACATATAAAATAACTAGCGGTTCTTTCCAGTGGAATCTGAAAGCCCACCCATCATTTATGGAGTACCTGCTATATATAAAAAGTGATAAGCATGGTGGTTAAAACATTGAGAAGGGTAAATGAGCATTTAAAGTGTTTAAACACTCATTTTAAGAGGATTTTAAGAGTCATGGATCATTAAAGATAGACTGCTGAGGGCCTATTTGTATATAAGTATCTTCAGTTTTTTAAGGGATAAATGCTAAGGCAAAATCTGATTTCTTTGAATGATATACAGCAGTAGCAGATAAATGCTACCCTAGCTAGTTGGTGAATATTCTCCCAATGGAGAAATACTCCAAAGTTAAGAGAGAATTGAACTATGTACTTCCTATTAGTGAAAAAATGCAATTGTTCAAATCTCCCTTTTCTAGTTGTGAGGAATTTAAGTTTCTAAAAGAGCTATTATGATCATTTAAAGATAAAGGTCACTGAATTTTAGTAATAGTAAGAATTTAATGTTTATTATGTACTGTTCTAAATGCCTTCCATGTATTAACTCATTTAATCCTTTAAGTGCCTTATATAGGTGATGTTGAGAAGACCACCAGAATGGCTAAATAATTTAGTAGAAAAGAGAGCTTTATTGGTGGTATCAGTTTGCAAACCAGGAAGAGAGAGTTTCTAGTGTGGACGGAAGGTGTTCTCTATTTGTAGAGGAAAGGGGACAGATTGGGTTTTATGCCTCATAGAGTCCATATTACACAATAGTCATACATATTCACCAGGTTTGGGGAAAATGCCATATATATATCTTGAGTGCAGTTCATGTGCAAATGGGTAAACCTATATGTAACACACATCCCATGTTCACTTTGGGGTTTCAGCATTAAAATGAGGTGGAGTTTGGCTCTTTTACATCAAAGAGTCAATATAGGACACAGTGACAGTTTGTATGCAGTTTCTATAACCTGCCTGAAACTGACTTGAAGTTGATGGTTGCTTTTCAGATGGGAATGTTTGTAAGGCCAGTTCTCAGTCCAACCAGAGTTGTAGTGATCTGGGTTATAATTCAAAGTTAGGAGGGGTCTGATAATTTGCTGATAGCTCCTATTGTCAGGGAGTTTAGCAACAATGTGATTTTCCTTGTAGCCACAAGAATTTAGAAATTTGTCATGTTAGCTTGGCCCTGAACCCTTGACCTGTAGGTAACTTTTGTTTCCTTAACCTTGGGATCCATCTTAGCTGATCCATCTTAGCTGATATTTTGGTCTCTCAGATCATATAGATTAACTCCTTAATTGCTTATGGGGAAGAAGTACTATTTTTAATCTTTTTTTTTAGAAAAGAGGAAACCGAGGCACAGAAATTCATAAAACTCAGAGCTGGGGTTGACACCTGGACATCTCTTCTAAAGACTATGTGCGTAAGCACAAAATTTCCTAACTCACTGAGGATACCTGAACAGAGATGCCCCAGGAGGAGCTGAGACTGCACTGTATAGTAGAAAAGAACATGGGATAATATAGTCAGAACTCTCTTTAGTCTTGAGCACTATAGTTGAATAGATGTGTAACTTCAATAAGTTATTCTCTTCAGCTTCAATTTCCTCATTTCCAAATAGGGAGCCAGGTTTATAATACTTCCTAATACTAATATCAGAATTTTGTTACTATCAAATAGATTTAAAAAGAGTT